CAGGGTATGTCTACACTACCCTCCTAGTTCGAACTAGGAGGGTAAGGTAGGCATACCGCACTTGCAAATGAAGCCCGGGATTTGAATTTAAATGAAGCCCGGGAAAGAGAGAGAGATTTAAAAACAAAACCCTAAGTAGAGATGTTGGGATTAGTGGGCTTTTATTCAATGTTTGGAGGAATTTCAGGCAATGGGAACTGGGCTGAGGGTGAAGAGGGAACTGAAAATTTGGGACTTTATGTCTGAACTGACGTTGTGTCAAGTGGTTTCCCCCTTCAGGTCTCCCCAGAGGTGGGGAACCTAAGGCTCAGGGCCTGGATCCTGCCCTTGAGGCTCAGGGCTCCCCCTCCTCAGCATTGGGGAGCCTGCGCTGTACACCAGCCCCATGTCCCCCTCTGCCTCGCAAGTCCCCCTGCGGGGTTGGACATCATTACTGGCTTCCCACTGTGGGGGAAGGAGCCCTGAGCCTCGCAGACAAGCCAGAGCCAGATCCAACCCTTGGGCTCTGCTTGGTGCGGAGTGGAAGGGGCTCTGTGTGTTGCCACTCCAGCTCCTGGCAGCTGGTGCAGTAAAGCGCTGGCTGGAGGCTTCCCTGCACACTTAGTGGCTGGGGGAGAGTCTTTCTGCTTCTCAGTCGGAGGCCGTGTCAGTGAGGTGGATTTTTTTTCTTCTCACTTGCAGCCTCCAACTGATTTTTCTGCAGGTCAATGGCTCCTGACCCAAAAATGGTTCCCCAGCCCTGAGTCTAACGGAAAATAAAATGATTTGGTTTATCATTTAAAGAGTGTTACTGCTCTATGGAAAAGTCTGTAGAATACTAGGAATATGGAATCCTAGGAATATAGCACACTGAACCCCTAATTCTGGCCCCACCCCAAAGGCCTACTAGTCCTTGGCCCTCAGAGGATCTAATCCAGTCCTATGGGGAAGCTTTGAGCCTTGGACCAACCCCCCTCCCCCTTGCAGAGCTGGAGCGCATGGGAAATCCTGGCACCCCAAGTTGCATGCATGAGTCTCTTTGGGGGTTTGGGGGTTTTTTTCCCTCAGTGAAGTTGTGTCAACTGTCAACTGATTGTTTCTGTAGTCAGTGGTCCCAAGCCAAAAAAGGTTCTCTGCTCCTGTTCTGAACTATTCCCTGGGGGTCAGCGTTGCTCAGTTTGAAACACCATGTGAAGCTATCAGGGCTGTTCCCCACTCTGGCGCTCCGAGCGCAGAAGATGAGGTCCCACAAGAGACCTTAAATACCTTGCCTCTGTGGGCTTCTGCTTAAAAAGCTCCCCACAGGCCCAGATTCCCTGGCCTTGGGAGGTAGCTGCCACCACCAAGTGAAACAAAAAACTCTTTCTTCTTGAACCCAGGAAGAAGGACTTGGACTTCTTCCAAAGGGCACCCCCACACTCTTTACTGCAAGAGAGCTGGGAATCAAAAGAGAAAAGAGAAAAACCAACTGCAGTCTCTGATAGCTTACACCTCAGTCTCAGGCAGGCACACACACACACCTGCTGCTACCTTCCAGGACACTAGAATCAAATCATCGCCTTAAAAAGGGGGATTTTATTAACAAAAGAAAAAGATAAATCAGACTTGGTTGCTAGGTGTTCCTCTCTTCTCCTTCTTTGCTTTCCATTTTTCCTGCCAGCCCTCCTCCTCCCTCCACCCAGGTCCCATATGTTGGCACTTCAAGCCCATCTCACTGGGCTCCTGTGATGGATAGTGATAGAAATGTAGCCGTGTTAGTCTGGTGTAGCTGAAACAAAATACAGGACTATGTAGCACTTTAAAGACTAACAAGATGGTTTATAAGGTGATGAGCTTTCGTGGGCCAGACCCACTTCCTCAGATCAAATAGTGGAAGAAAATTGTCACAACCATATACCAAATATACCAAAGGATACAATTTAAAAAAATGAACACATATGAAAAGGACAAATCAAATTTCAGAACAGAAGGGGGATGGGAGAGGGGGAAGGTAAATGTCTGTGAGCTAATGATATTAGAGGTGATAATTGGGGAAGCTATCTTTGTAATGGGTAAGATAATTAGATTCTTTATTCAGACTCAGGTATAAAGTGTCGAAGTTAAGCATGAATAACAGTTCAGAGAATTCTCTTTCAAGTGCAGTCTTAAAAGGCTTTTGAAGCAGGATGCAGGTAATTAAGTCATTGAGGCAATGTCCTTTCTGGTTGAAATGGAAAGAAACTGTTTTTTCTTTGTGATCCTGTCTGATATCTGTTTTGTGGGCATTGATCCTTTGGCAAAGTGTCTGAGGCGTTTGTCCAATGTACACAGCAGACGGACAGATGGATAGGAGGAGTGCTGGCCAGCATTCAGTGACTAAAGGGTTGCACTCAGGTAGCTAGGGGGTGTTGGCAGGGAAGCAGGCGAACCAATGGGAAAGGGTGTTGAAATTTGAATGGGAAGGAATATGTGCCTGCTGTTTCCCTTTGCGGGAGTTTTAAGCCAGGAACTGGGGGAACAAGGTGAATTGAACCAGGCAGAACTACCATGCCTACAAGGAATACTAGGCATGGAAATGGACTGGACCCTGAAGCATGGATTGTAAGTAGACAGGAAAATGTCTATGCAGTCATGATCAGGTTATTTTTCTTTGTTTTGTTCTTTGGTTAAACTTCTCCGTGCTAAGCCCTGTGCCCTCCCTCCCCCGTACACTGTATTTTTAAGCTGTAGCCTAGAGATAACATGCTCTCTGTGTTTTAATCTGCACTCTTCTCAGTGTGCGGGGGAGGGACACACATGGGCGTAGCACAGAGAAGTTTTGCTCTGGTCACAAAGGGCAGAAATTGGCCTTCAGTGACCTGTGTGTTTATAGGGAGCCAGGGATTTCAAAGTTGTCTTAGGAGTCCGAATATACAATTCTTGGTTAAATTAATGGGCACTGAACGTGCAAACCCCCAAGGCAACTGTGAAACCCCTTCCTCCTCCCAGAGGGTTTTCTCAGCTGAATCTCTGTGAGCTTTATGTAAAAATTAAACTTTTTGAGACCACGGAACACCAAACAATAATATTTTTTTTAATGCGGAACATCTATGAAAATTTTCTCCAAAAAAATAATTGTTGTCAGACAAAAACAAAGAACTAACAAAATCAAAGAAGAGGTGGTGGCACACTTGCAAGTTGTTCTCAGAACACCAGTGTTCCCCGGAATGTGTGAGGGGAATGTGGCGAGTGTCTTTCTCCTTCTCAGTTGGGGGTCACGTCAGTGAGATTTTTTTCTTCCCAGTTGTGTGTGGCCTCCAACTGACTTTTCTGTGGGTCAGTGGCCCCCGACCCAAAAAAGGTTCCCACCCCTGTCCAGGAAGAATAAATAAAGGAAATTTAGAGAAGCACAGAGGAGCCAGCATAGTGCTGGCCACACTAACACTTACGGTAATGTAACTTATGTTGCTCAGGGGTGAAATATTCACACCCAAATGATATAAGCTTTGCCGACATAAGTGGCCTTAGTTTCCTTAATAACCTTTTGTGCACAACTTTTTCAAAGACTTTCTGAAAACCACATATATTTTGCCCATTGGGTTCCCCTTTGTGCAATACTGCATTGACCTACCCCAAAAGATTTAATAGATTAGTGTGACACAAGCCTCGTCTGCTTTAGGAATTTATATTGATATTGATACGTTTTTCAGTAGTGTGACGCCACATCCCAAAGAGATGTAGTTACATATACCAAGCTAATCCCTGGTGTAGCCTAGGGATGTAATAGTGTAGTTGATTAACTAATTAATGATAAGTTGGGTTTGGTCCTGCCTTGGGCAGGGGGCTGGACTTGATGACTCCTGAGGTCTCTTCCAGCTCTGTGATTCTATGAATGCTATAGACTACACACATTTCCCCAGCCCCTCATGCCAGTACACTTTTTTAGCAAGCTGGCCAGGACCTACCCCTGCTGTGGCTCTCCATTTAAAGTATATTAGGAGCTGGGCAGGCAGGCAGCCCAACTCAGTCCCAGCTTGCACTGTGTCTGGGAGCTCAGACCCGCCCCCAATGTCCTTTCTGGTTGAAATGGAAAGAAACTGTTTTTTCTTTGTGATCCTGTCTGATATCTGTTTTGTGGGCATTGATCCTTTGGCAAAGTGTCTGAGGCGTTTGTCCAATGTACACAGCAGACGGACAGATGGATAGGAGGAGTGCTGGCCAGCATTCAGTGACTAAAGGGTTGCACTCAGGTAGCTAGGGGGTGTTGGCAGGGAAGCAGGCGAACCAATGGGAAAGGGTGTTGAAATTTGAATGGGAAGGAATATGTGCCTGCTGTTTCCCTTTGCGGGAGTTTTAAGCCAGGAACTGGGGGAACAAGGTGAATTGAACCAGGCAGAACTACCATGCCTACAAGGAATACTAGGCATGGAAATGGACTGGACCCTGAAGCATGGATTGTAAGTAGACAGGAAAATGTCTATGCAGTCATGATCAGGTTATTTTTCTTTGTTTTGTTCTTTGGTTAAACTTCTCCGTGCTAAGCCCTGTGCCCTCCCTCCCCCGTACACTGTATTTTTAAGCTGTAGCCTAGAGATAACATGCTCTCTGTGTTTTAATCTGCACTCTTCTCAGTGTGCGGGGGAGGGACACACATGGGCGTAGCACAGAGAAGTTTTGCTCTGGTCACAAAGGGCAGAAATTGGCCTTCAGTGACCTGTGTGTTTATAGGGAGCCAGGGATTTCAAAGTTGTCTTAGGAGTCCGAATATACAATTCTTGGTTAAATTAATGGGCACTGAACGTGCAAACCCCCAAGGCAACTGTGAAACCCCTTCCTCCTCCCAGAGGGTTTTCTCAGCTGAATCTCTGTGAGCTTTATGTAAAAATTAAACTTTTTGAGACCACGGAACACCAAAC